CCCTGCGCCATGGCCGGTGCTGCCAACCGCCTCGCTGCAGCCACCCCAGAGCAAACAAGGCCAGAACCATCACCTGGCAACCGCCCAGCACCAAGGCGGGGAGGTCGTGGGGGGCCGCACCAGGGCAGGGGGCACCTTTGATCCCTTCCTGCCCCGCAGAAGGGAACAGGGGCAGGGCAGGGAGGGCTGGGGCTGCGCCTTCCTGCTTTTCCAGCAGCAGGAAAGCAAACAGGAGCGAGCAGGCAGGAGCAATAAACCACGGGCAAGACCTGTGCTGGAAAAGCTGGTACCTCTGGAGCCGGGGGCAGCTGCTTTGGGCCTCTGACCCCAGCGGGGGCAGCCCCAGGGACTCACTGCACCCCTCACCTCGCAGTGGAGAAGCAAAAGTGGAGCCACCAAGCCCAAGAGACGTAAATTCACAACTTGTTTAATGCCAGTTAGATTGCTTTACATGGAAAAGTTAACAACGCTCTGTATTATTATTTTTTTTTCCAACCATATGATGCCTTATATACAACAATGCCACAAGGTCGCAGACTTTATCACACGAACTCTGGGAGGACCCTTTGCTCAACCCGCCCGCGCGGTTCGGTGCTTCCAGGTCACGCGCTGACAACACGAGCTCACGCCAGCTTCGCCCTCTTCCCCCTTCCCCACGCCCCAGCACACCCCGGCCAGCGTCACGCCGTGAGCACAGACACCCGCACACACCCACCGACACACACTGGGGCAGGGAAGACGTGCAGAGAGCACTTCGGGGAACGCCACTCCTGCCTCGGCCGCTGCGAGGGAAGGAGTTTGGGCCGTGCTTTAACAGCTCAGTCACCCCCAACAGCTCGTTTTCGCCGTGCTCATGAGCTGCAGACCGGCCACGGCTTGGCAATCACTAGCCCTCCCTGCCATGCACGGTGAGAGAAGTCACGGTGAGTCAACCCCCTCCCAAGGCAGCTCGAAAGTGAGAAAAGTGAGAGACGTGGTTTGCGCGAGACCGCCGGCAAGAGGAGCGGGGTGCGGGGAGAGC